CAGATCTGAAGCATCCCAAGAGAGGGGAGGGGCTCCGAGTCTCTGGACGACACCTTCCTGAGCGTCACCCAAGTCCCCAGCATCGCCCCGAGGGCCTTGTGACCCACCAAAGGGAGATTGTCAGCAAGCACTGGTTTGGCGTTCCCCCGAGGACCGAGGGCGCACTTGTGTGCAACGCTTCCCCCCCTTTGGAATGCCAGCTCCGAAAAATCCATCCACGATTGCCTCGCTGCCGACGCATCCTTCCTCGTTTGCGCCTGCACGCGCTCTTGCACGAAATCGCAGACTCCCGGCCTGTGGCGCAGGGTCTTCGAGACGGGAAAGGAAGGCGGCATGCGAGGATGTCCTCTGACCATATTCCTCCTCCCCCTCCACCGACGCCACAGATACCCACACACTCCCGACCTCTTCCATGCGAGCAACAGCGCTCGCTAACACATCAGCTCCATCGGGGGCGGTGGACTCCTGCGTTTTTCATCACTGCATAGGCACTCGGCGAAGCGTCAACCACTTCTGGGTCTCAGCATTGGTTTAGCGTCGTATGCCTCTTCCCCGGGCGCAGGACGCAGGGACTCGTCTCCATGCGCAACCAGCACGCGTCCACTGATGCAGAGCCGATTGTGCACAGGAATGGCCAGGTACATGCAAAGAAAGAGTTCGGCAGACGCGAACCAACGACGCGCTAGGCCATCCACCCTTTCACCCTCTGAGAGCTCAAAACATGGCCAGCTGGAAATGTCTCCAGCAACGAACGCTTCATGTTTCTTGGGGAGTCTAATCGTTTCTGGCTGGATGCGCCGATAAATGTAGTTGTGACTCCCTACGCCCGTAAAGCAAAGGACAACCGCTTTGTGGGGCCCAACTGGGATGTTTTAGCGAAGGCTTATGTAACTGACACATGGACGCAGCACGTCACCTAGAACAAACAAGTCAATATTCGAATCGTTACAGATCGGCTTACCTGGGTGCACGATCCCGACGTGCAACAATTGCAGGGCATCGAACCTCCAAAAACGGTCGGTCCCAGAAAGTTCGGTTTCGAGATTCCAGCCCCCAGCTATGCAGAACAGCAGGCAGGCGGCTCGACCAGCTTGAGCTAGAGTTCCTAGAACCTCCACGTTTCCTCCCAAGCCCACCCTAACCTCCCCGTAGACCGACACTAGGAGGATCCGCATATCCCAGAGGACAGTTCTCTGAAACTTCAAACGTGATTTGGGAAATGCGCATGCAGGGGAATTCTCTGCCACAGGGATGCGACCGCGCGTGCACAAACCTACACCACTGGAAGTAGACAGTGCCGAATTCCCCGTGATGGAAGCCAAGGCCTCAAGGCGGTAACCGCGGCCTCTCGCCCTCGCCTGCTCTCGCCGAATCTGCTCGACAAAGACGTCCGCCTGCAAGCCTTGGTCGAGGACGCACCACTCGATGAAAGATTGGGCCGTGGCCCATCCATTGGATTTGAAGGAAAAGCTCGTGAAATCCGTAGCCACACAACGATTGAATCGGCTGCTGCTTGCCGCCTCCCCAACGAATCGAGTCAAACGCTGTAATCCGATTGGGCGCTGCGTCCGAGCGATGAGCAGGAACGGGCTCACCATCAGCTCACAGACTGGGTGAAGTAAAACAATCGACGCCTGCAATACGGCCGACACACAGACACCCAATGTCGTGCAGTGCCCGGCCCTGCGCGGGGCCTGGGTGGATGGCGCCGCAGTGCCTCGGATGGACTCGTGGACATGCCTGAAATATTGCATATTTCAAACACGTGTAATCCAGACACCGTGAGGGGTGTCAGAATCGGCAGCACGCCAAAGAATTGACGATATCGTCCGCTCAACATTTGAGGTCTCCCCAGCAGCCTCGCCTGGGCGCGGGGTTCAGATTCAGGAATCAAATTGGCAGCTTCCACAGCCCATCTGTCACTGGGCATAATTGTTATCTGGGCAGCATGTTTCCAGACCTTTCGTCGCGCCGTCTCTCGCCAGCAATATATATATATATATATATATATGCGCAGCTTGTTCATGTGATCCTCAATGTGATGAGTAACGCGCTTGATGCAGTCTACCCATGGCTCGGGGGCGAGCCCTGCCCCGACGACATCATACTGGCTACAAACCTGAGATTCGTGAGCCTTGGCAAACTTGTATACACCAGTTGAGTTCCAGCTTTCAGGGCTGCCCACTTTCCATTCATTTTCTTCATAATGTCCTCAGAGAGGGCGTTGAAGATCCGCCAGCTCGTGACCGCTTTTGTTTCTTTCCCGGGTAACGGCCGTTACCCGGAGGGGTGGGAGGAGGGGTGACGGTAACGACGGCCGCGGCGTGCCACCGCCAGGGTGCGCCCGCGCTACCGGCGCATCATTCGCCTGTGTACACGACAATGCCCAATGTTTGCGTGCAACACAGCGCCATTTGTGTAACATCACATTGCCTCCGTACACCACAGCAGCCGCGTGCATTGGAGCACCACGTCGCCCATGCACACCGCAGTGCCTGTGTAGACTGCAGCAGCCGTTGTTTAAAATAGGATTCTACAGACAAACGTTGTCTACTGTAGGATTATTAAGGAAAGCCCAATGGTAAATGGAGTGCCTCTGAAGCCCACAAGACTCCATCTTTATATAGCATTTGAAAAGGAATCGCTATGGAAAGTGGTGCGCCTCTGGATTCCACAGAAAATCGCTTGTTTGATAAAGGAATCCTTCTCGAAATTGGGGCGCCTCTGGATTCCACAGAAAGCGAGAGTTTTATACACACGTTTGAAAGAACCCTTATGGAAATTGGAGCGCCTGAGGATTCTACACGGCAGCACCACAACGCCTGCGTACACCAGAACGCTTGTGTACACCACGGCAGCCGCGTGCAACACAGCGTCGGTGTACACCACAGTACCTGCGTGCACCACAGCGCTTGCCTACACCACAACGCCTGTGTACACCGCAGCAGCTGTATGCAACGCAGCGCGGGTGTGCACCACGCTGCTTGAGTGAACCACAGCGCCCGCGCACACCACAGCGCCCGCGGGAGAAGGCGCGGGGCCGCCCAGTCTTTATTTTCTCCGTGGCGCTGGGTCCCAACTCAGTACGTGCCATAAAGACGGGTGGTAAGGACGCAAGCCCTTTGGAAGCCGAGCATGGGATTTGTTTGCAAGAGCTAGCCAGCGAAAGCGCCAAAGGACACGCCGCAGAGGCAAGACACAATGGTACCCTGGAGAAGCCGCGCGTCCTTATTAGGCGCGTTGGCTGCATCGCACTGCAATCGAGCACCAGCCAGAAGGAAGAGATAGAACCACCGCAGCTTGTACTTGCGGGAGAGTGGTCGAACCAGCCTGCTGTAGTTGAGCCATCGCCAGCTGCACTGGACGACGATTGCGAAGACGACGACGAACGACCGACGACGACGACAACGACGACGACGACGGACGACGACGACGACGACGACGACGACGACGACTGCGAGCGCCACAACACGTTTGTGAGCACCAATGCGTGCCGTTCAGACCACGCCATCTCTGTGAGCACAGCACCATACCTGCGGGGGGTCCGCTCCCTGCATATAGGGGAGGGGCCAGGCCCCCCCTCCCCCACGGCATGATCGCTAACGCTACCCAGGGGAAGGGGCGAGGGTTTGCGCGGGTAGCGATCGTTTTGCCAGGGAGGAGACAAGACGCTCAAGGGGTCACCCGGCTTGGTGCTTTGGTGGTCTCGAACCATCTCTTGGCGGCGTCGGTCCGCGTTTGCTTCTTTTTTGTTGTGATGCTGGTGGCTTGGGCCCCTTGCAGCCTCAGATGAGGGCCCGAGGGGCCGATCGGTAGTCGGGGTTGTATAGCCTTGGCGGTCAGAGCCCTCTTGCCGCCAGCTGCTTTGCCTAGGCTTGCAAGGTAGCATCCTCGGCGCTGGCGGAGACGAAGTCGGCCACGCCGTGGCGCAGCATGAGGAGAGGAGGAGGAGGAGGAGGAGGAGGAGGAGGACGACGACGACGATAAGGAGGAGGACGAGGAGTATAAGCAGGAGCAAGAAGAGGAAGAGGAGGAGGACGACGACAGGGAGGAGAGAGGATAACCAGCACATACCCAATATTCATCATCGATATTGCAAGAATTCCTCCCTCCAAGTTCCCTCATCATAAGCCTCTACAATGTCTCATTTTGACTGAAGGAAGTGCCCCGTTGGAAGACAACCGTCGGAAAATCCAGAACTGTGCCAGGACACCATTCCTGGAATGTCAGCGCAGCGAATCACCGTCATTGTTGGTTCTTGGCGATCTAAAACCGCGTCGTAACACCATTCCTGTGACTCCCACACCGCGAATCACCGTGATTGCTACGTTCTGACATTCCGACAACATTCCACAACACTATGTCCTGGACGTTAACCATAGCTATATTTGACACAGTTGCGAATTCTTCAGACGAGTGCGCGCGGTGCTGGAGCGAGGGCCGCATTTTGAAATGGAACCGCCCTACATCGGTGAACCAGTTGCGAACTTTTCAGACGAGTGTGCGCGGCGCAGAGGTGAAAACCACATGTTGAAAACAGACCGCTGTCCATCCGTGCATATTGTTGCGAACTTTTAAGATGAATGAACGCAGCGTAAAAACGATAACCACATTTTGAAAGCGAGCCGTCTTCGATCCGTGAAGATGCCGTACATCTAAGCTTCATAATCGTAGAAAGGTGAAGGAGTCTCCGGCGAAACCCCAGCCCGCCCCTTCGACCGGCGTCGGGATTCGACATGGATGAGTAACGTCTAAGGAAAACGAGGGGCGGAGGAGGACCACGAGGACGACGGGGTGGAGGAAAAGGAGGATGAGGAGAGGGAGGAAGAGGAGGAGGCGCCCGGGGGCGCGGACATTCGTGCTCGCTACAACCAAGACGTTCAAGTTCGCCCAACGTGAAAACAAAGGGGAGTCGATGCCCGAGACCCCGTCCCAAAGATGGGGCTGGGCGGGCCGCCGTCGCCGAGTGGACACCTCCTTTTGCTTTCCGCGAGCGCGAGGAAGCGGCGCGGCGCTTTCTCGAGCCGTTGGGCCTCCTGCAGGACGCCGGCGGCCGGGGTCCTCCATTTCGCTCTTTCTCTTCGATCTTCTTCCTCCTGTTTTCGCTCCTCCTCCTTTTCCTCCTTTCCCTCTTCCTGTTTCGGAGCCGTTTTGGCGCAAGGAGCTTGTCCTTGCTTTCCCAACGTCTCTCGAGGCGCTTGGTGGCCGGGTACCACGGGCGGGCCGCGGTCGCGCCCTGCTGGCCCTCGGCGGCCGCTCCTCCTCGGTTCCCGTTTCCTTTTCCCCTTTCGCCATGGAGGCGATGCGCCATGCCATGCCGTGGCCTTCGCGGGCTCCTACTCCGACTTCCCCCTGAGGAGAGCGGTGGTAGCACTGGCCGGTCAGATATCCCGCCGTCCCCAGGTACTAGCACGGCCGATTCCAACATGCTTGTCAACCTGAAAGAGCTGATCCTGCCGCTCTCGTGCAGTGTTGACTCTTTCCCCGAACATTTGGATCGAAGGGTCACGAAAATCAGCGGCCAAATGCCAGGAATCCAAGGCCAGATGTTGCAAGCAGAATACCTTTCCAGATTTGACAGCGCATGCGAATCTCGCGAGGCAGACGATGGATGTTTTTGCAAAGAATCGTCCTGTACAGGAAAGGCTTGGTTGCAGGTCGTTCAGGATTGTGAGACTGCGCGGCGTAATTTGAAGGAGGAGGAGGAGGTGAAAAAGGGGGTCCTTGAGACGATGCAGGACGAGTCTGCAGCGTTGGGGGGCACTGAGATCGGCGGCGCCGCTACACTTGGTGCTGAGAACGGTGGAGATTCGTTCTCTCGGCAGGTTCGTCGCCGCGTGGAGCTCACTGACGCGCGCGACCCGAGTCGGTTGGTGGCCCTGGGATTCCGTCGCCATTGCTCGGGGGCCACACTTCGCCAGACTGTCACTCCGATTGTGACCAAGCGTGCTCTCGCCAGCGATATCCGGCGCATCCATGCTGGAGCATTCAATTGCAGTGAGGTCTTGCTCGGCTTCCCGATCACGTTGATGGCCACCGCTTTCCACATAAGTTTATGACAGAGGCCCGTTCTCTTCCCCTAATCCTGAGGTCGGCGGGGACCTCGAGCTTCGCGTCCGCCGCGGCCTCCCGCAGACGTCTCACGCACTTTTTGCTATCCCGGCAACGCGAGGCAGGCCGCGGCGCAGATCATCTGCCATGCACGCGCGGGATCTACGGGGCGTTGACATTATAGGCTTGGCTGAGGTTGAGGGGGGAGCGCGTGCACCTTGCTTGCAGTTCCGTTTCTGTTGGAATCGCCCCATTATGTCAGTGCAGTTGCAGCGATGGGAAAAGGGGCTCGATTGGAGTAGTTCTGCGCCCTGGCTATATGCGATATCGACTGGGCCCCCGTCTCCTGAGAGCAGCTTAATGTGTTACTCAACGGGCACATCGTCGCAATTGCCTCTTCCTCTAGCTGGGCTTGCTGGTGAAGTCTACCGTCCGCCCACTCTGCTCGCGCCCTGCACTTGGGGCGCTTGCGTCGATCTCTTTCGGCTCTCATTGCGACGCGCGGCTTCAGCAGGCAATGCAGCTGCTTGAAAGGCGTCATATTGCATGCTCCCAGGAAGCTCGTGGTTCCCAGGGCGACGTGGCCATCTTAGCTGACGAGATGCGCGGAGGTATTCTCTGCGCGGCAGCGTTGGGCCGGCGGGGCGGCTGGTGGGTTTGCCACTTATGTCTATGATGCTTTAGTCGCTTCGCCCCCGCGCATCCGCCCCGTCGAAGCGGCGCGGGGGGGGGGGATTCTTGCAGAGGTGGTCGGGGCCTGCTGGGGAAATCGCAGCGCCCTATACATGCGACCATATCAGCGCGCATAAGCCGCATGTGGGGCAGATCTGTGATGCATTGCCCCCTGCAGCACAAAACATGGTGCTCGTGGCTGGTGGCTGGAACTTCGTGCCTATGGGGGATGGAAGATTCTTGGCGCGGGGTGGGTTCGGTCCTGGGGGTCGGTCTCTGCGCGGCGCTTTTCGTGGCCATTGCAGTTCCTGGCGCGAAGTGCATCGCCCTGACTCCGCGCGCAGAGGCATCGTCGCCGGCGAGATTCGCGGGCTCTCTCGGCCAGATTTGGCCCGCGCCGCTCTCCCAGCGGGGATTGCCAATGAGATGGTCGCTGCGTGCGCGTTGAGGACTTTGGCCACCAAGGGCGCCTCGTCTGACCGCGGCCCAGTTGCCGTCGAGACTGCGTGCCCCACGCCGGGTCGACCTTTGTCAATTCCGAAATGGATTTGTTAGGATGCAGCGCGCAGGCGGACGGTCTCTGAGCAGTTTAGAGAACTCGCATGTCCCGAGGATCTTGCAGAGCGAGTGCGGAGGGTGGAAACTCGCGTTGGACATCGGAGCAAATTCGTTTCGGTGTCGTCGACGCAGATCGAGCTCATCAGCGGTTGTCAACTTCTGGGCCAGCGCGACCCACGCCTCAGCCGCTGGACTGAATGCCCCCCCGCGCGGTGGCCGAAGCTGCGGCCGAGTCGGCCCCGACGGCGCCTGCGGGCCAGGCGCGGGGATCTCTCGCCGCGGCTTGGCGTCAGTTCGCCGACGCCATCGAGCTCGAGCTCAAGCTGCTCGTGGGAGGGGGGGCCAACGCAAAGGTTTTCGGGGTGGTTTTCTTGAGGCCAAGGCGGGCTCCGATTTATATTGAACCACGGGCTTTGGCACCTCTCGCCCAACCGCGCGATCTGGCTCGCTCAGCGCTATAGAGAACCTATGGGGGCCACTGGGGGGGCATCGTGGCTGGCGCCCCAAGCGGCCGAGGACCCCAATGGTCTTGTCGATCCCGCTGCCCATAAGCAGCGAGGTCAGGTGCGTGCAGCTTCAGATGCAGCAGCTTCTAGGCCTTCCTTGTCCAGGAGGGCGCCAGCACCCGGCTGGGCTCCGCGCCGCGACGGGCTCGAGGCATGGCGACTCCGCCCCCTTCGTCAGACGCTCGGGCTGATTGGCGCGAGGAGCGCCGAGCGTCGTTCAGTTCGGGGGGGGGCGGGGGCGGCGTCTTGGAGGCCGTGGGGGCCGTCGGCAAGCAGCCGCGGGATAGTTTGCGCGAGTGGCATCAGAAGGCTTTGGATGGGGGGCCATGGTCATCCATTGGATCACTAGACTCCGGACGAAACGGAATCGCACGGCCGTCCAGACCCACCCTGGAGCTATCTCGTGCAACCTTCGCTCCTCCGTCGTCGCGAAGTCAAGGGGCCGGGAACGCGTCGGCGCGCGTCTGGCGTGGCGGGCGAGGTCATCGTTCTTGATCGGGCCCGTGCGCCTCGGAGTGCGTCGGCCGAGCGTCGGAGTGCGTCGGCCGACGTCTCCCGCGGCACCTCCCAATCCCTTGTTCCCAACCATCCTGTGGTGTTGGGTCCTCGTTTTGAAGAGACGGTGCCCCGCGTCTCCTCTCCTCTCCCCCTCCTCCCCCCTCCTCCCCCTCCCACACCCATTCTGGCACGCCCCTCACACGTTTCGTGGCCCCATAGGGAGCCCCACCGAAGGGCCCAGTGGCTGCGCTCGCATGCGGTTCCGCATCCCATCTTGGCACACCCCACACACGTTTCGTGGCCCCATAGGGAGCTCCACCGAAGGCCCCAGTGGCTGCGCTGGCATGCGGTTCCACCCCCCATTTCGGCACACCCCTCACACGTTTCGTGGCCCCATAGGGAGCTCCACCGAAGGCCCCAGTGGCTGCGCTCGCATGCGGTTCCACCCCCCATTTCGGCAGGCTCCATGGGGAGCTCCACCGAACGCCCCAGTGGCTGCGCTCGCATGTGGTTCCCCCCCCCATTTCGGCACACCCCTCACACGGTTCGTGGCCCCATAGAGAGCTCCACCGAAGGCCCCAGTGGCTGCGCTCGCATGCGGTTCCACCCCCTTTTTCGGCACGCCCTTCACACGTCTCGTGGCCCCATAGGGAGCTCCACCGAACGCCGCAGTGGCTGCGCTCGCATGCGGTTCCACCCCCCATTTCGGCACACCCCTCACACGTTTCGTGGCTCCATAGGGAGCTCCACCGAAGGCCCCAGTGGCTGCGCTGGCATGCGGTTCCACCCCCAATTCTGGCATACCCCTCGCACGTTTCGTGGCCCCATAGGGGGCTCCACCAAAGGTGCCAGTGGCACTGCCCGCTTGCGTCCGCCACCACCCAGCACAGCCCTTGTTCCCTGCGCTTCACCCACCCAGAACAGCGCTTCGTAGCCCTATACGGAGCTCCACCGAAGGTCCCAGCGGCACCGCCCGCATGCGTCCGCCACCACCCTGCACAGCCCTTGCTCCCTGCCTGCGTTTCACCCACCCAGTACAGCGTTTCGTGGGCCCATGGGGAGCTCCACCGAAGGTCCCAGTGGCACCGCTCGCATGCGTCCGCCACCACGCAACACAGCCCTTGCTGACGGCGTCTCACCCACCCAGTACAGCGTTTCGTGGCCCCATAGGGAGCTCCACCGAAGGTCCCAGTGGCACCGCCCGCATGCGTCCGCCACCACCCAGCACAATTGCGGCATTCACAACTGCATATGGTTGGGTCTTTCGCCAGGCTAATTTTTCTCTTCGCCCCGAGCAGTTCAGCGCTGTGTCGGATGCGGCACTTGAGACTTTCGCTTCAGACTGCAGAAACAGTTGTTTTGGCTTGTTTGCCACTGCGTGGGGAAGCAAGGCAGAACCTCCGTTCCATCCTGGCGCGCGCAGGGCCTGTTCGAGTCTGGGGGGGGGGCTGCGGCGCCCTGCCATTTGAGATTTCGAAAATAGGTAGTCCAGAAAATATTGGGCCCTTGGTCGAAGCCGCAGCGCCGGGGATGCTGCGCGGCATCGGGCCGCGCGGACTGACGCCGCCCATCGCGATGATAAGGTGAGATTTAATTGGGATGGGACTGAGCATTGCGAGGTGTTCGAATTTCAGCTTCTCCGCCATCGCGCGCTCGATCGCGATGTCGACGGCGCGATCGTGAAGACTGCGTGCAATTATTGGCGTGGCCTTCGGCTTCCTAGATTGGGTGCTCAGTATTCAGCGTCTCGCGACTTT